TGGACTGTCCGGTGTGCAAGCAGCAGTGCTTGTCCAAAGACACTGCGGAGAACTATTTCATGCGTGACGGTGGCAGCAAGGCCCCCACGGACTCCCAGGACCAGAACCAGTGCTGCACCAGCTGCGAGGGTGCCGCCCCGGCCACCAGCTACTGCGTGGAGACCTGCGTGGAGGCGCACCCGAGGGTGAAGTACACCAAGGACCACGCAGTGCGCTCCCCCGCGCAGCCAAGTCCCGAGATGGGGAGCGCACAGTGTACCGCACCGCGCACAAGCACGAGCCACTCCTGCTGTTCTGCGAGGGCTGCGGCCCCCTCATCTGCCGGGACCGTCAGCTCTGCGCCCACAAGGACCACCAATACCGGTTCCTGGAGGATGCCGTGAGGAACCAGCGCAAGCTCCTGGCCTCTCTGGTGAAGCGCCTGGGGACAAGCGTGCCACACTGCAGACCACCACCAAGGAGGTTCGAAGCTCGGTTCGCCAAGTGTCCGACGTGCAGAAACGTGTCCAGGAGGATGTGAAGATGGCTATTCTGCAGATCATGGAGGAGCTGAACAAGCGGGGCCGCGTGCTGGTCAATGACGCCCAGAAGGTAACGGAGGGGCAGCAGGAGCGCCTGCAGCGGCAGCACTGGATCAGGACCAAGTTCCAGAAGCACCAGGAGCACATCCTGGCGCTTCGCCTGGTGGGCTCTGGAGAGTGACAAACACACGGCCCTCCTGCTCTCCAAGAAGCTGAGCTACTTCCAGCTGCACCAGGCTCTCAAGATGATCGTCGACCCCGTGGAACCCCATGGCGATATGAAGTTCCAGTGGGACCTCAACGCCTGGACCAAGGGTGCCGAGGCCTTGGGCAAGATCGTGGCGGAGCGTCCTGCGCCCATGGCCCCTCCCTGGGCTCCGGGACTCTTGAGCAGCAAAGCAGGGCTCTGGCGGCAGCCAGCCCATGGACGTGCAAGAAAGCTATGGCTTCGCGTCAGATGACTCTTACTTGAGTGCAGAGCCCCACGTGTCAGGCATGAAATGGTCCCGCTCCCGTGAGGGTGAAATGAGTGGCCTCATGCCCGAGGTGCCACGGGTGAGCCTCCAGCGCCTGGATCTTGACATCACAGCTGACAGCCAGCCACCAGTCGTCAAGGTCTTCCCAGGCAGCACCACCGGGGACTCCAACCTGATGGTCATTGAGCCTGGGGCTGCAGCTGCTGCTGCCGGGCAGCTGGGGACTGTGCCCGGCACCCCTGGTGCCCAACCCCTGCCTGGCATGGCCATTGTCAAGGAGGAAGAGACAGAGGCTGCCATTGGTGCCCCGCCTGCCACCGAGGGCCCTGAGACCAAGCCCTTGCTGATGGCTCTGGCGGAGGGCCCCAGTGGGGAGGGTCCCCGCCTGGTCTCCCCCAGTGGCAGCACCAGCTCTGGCCTGGAGGTGGTGGCTCCAGAGGGCACCTCAGCCTCAGCTGGTGGCCCTGGTGCCCTGGATGACAGTGCCACCATCTGCTGCGTCTGTCAGAAGCCAGGTGACCTGGTCATGTGCAACCAGTGGGAGTTCTGCTTCCACCTGGACTGCAGGATGTGCCCGGGGAGGAGTGGAGCTGCTCACTCTGCCACGTGCTGCCTGACCTGAAGGAGGAGGATGGCAACCTGAGCCTGGACGGTGGGGACAGCAGTGGTGTGGTGGCCAAGCTCTCGCCAGCCAACCAGCAGAAGTGTGAGCGTGTCCTGCTGGCCATTTTCTGCCACGAGCCCTGCCGACCCCTGCACCAGCTGGCTACCAACTCCAGCTTTTCTGTGGATCAGCCTGGTGGCACATTGGACCTGACCCTGATAGCGCCCGCCTCCAGGAGAAGTTGTTGCCCCCCCTACAGCTCCCCTCAAGAGTTTGCCCAGGATGTTGGCCCAATGTTCAAGCAGTTCAAGCTGAAGGAGGACAAGGTGGACGTGCAGTCCATCATCGGCCTGCAGCGCTTCTTTGATGAATGAGGCCTTTGGTGACACCAAGTTCTCTGCTGTGCTGGTGGAGCCCCCACCGCTGAGCCTGCCTGGTGCCGGCCTGAGCTCCCAGGAGCTGTCCAGTGGCCCTGGTGATGGCCCCTGAGCCAGCTCAGCCTGGGCGTGTCCTGTCAGCCGCGCCCTTTGCCTTCGGTGGTCTGGCTCCCATTCCTTGGTAGCCTCATTCCCCGGCCCCTCACAATATGGTTTTTACTTCTGTGGATTTAATAAAAACGTCACAAGTTAAAAAAAGAAAAAGGAAAAAGAAAAAAAGAGCTAACCGAATAGAACTGAAGGACAGTGACAGGGAAGAAAGGGG